CCGAGGACGGGGGGAGTCGGTGGTTTTCCTAGCACCAGGAGCGCCCGGATCATGGAGGTGCAGCTGTGGCTCCGTGCGAGCATCGTGTTAGCAAAGGCAGCTCGAGTAGGGAGCACCTGGCATGCTGCTGTGCCAGCCCTCGGGCATGATCTTGGTGGGAAGAGGGTTTCTGGGGTTCGGTTGGTTTGGTGCCCGTCTCCTGTCCCAGCAGAGCGGGGAGCGCGGTGTCACCACGCGCTCCACGAGATCCAGCTCCGAGCTGCTGCCTCCCTCCAAACGTCCCCAGAGGGTTAGGCGGAAGCACATCAAGTTGGTTCAGCTTCTTGGTCTAAAAGAAAACGCCCAAAGACAAATTCTGTGATACTTCTCTTCCTATATAATTGCATACGGGTGTCATTTTAAAGTTGGTGGTAGTTTAAATCATCACCAGCCTCATAGGTAGCTGCGGCGCCTGCGGCTCTTCCTTCCCTTGGTGCTGGGACATGAGTCACGTGTAAGGTGCAGTTCACCAGGAGAGCCTGGAAATGGAGACTGTCCCCGGCGCTGCAGGAAGCAGCACTGAGGTGGAACTGAAAGGAAGCAGCTGGGTTTGCAGGGAGAGCTCCCAGCTATTAAACTGATGGCACAAAACCTGCTCGTGTCTCCTCAGCGTAGGGGCCCGCGCGCCTGCGGCTCTGCCCAGCGGGAACGACCGCTCCGTAGTGCCTGGCTGTGCCTGGCATGACGTGGAAGCAGCTTTGCCAGCGCCGTTTACTTGGATTTATGGTTTTCATCACATTATCCTGTTTTTACCAAGTTGTGAGTTGTTTGTCTCCTTCTGGGAGTTCCTCATCATGTTGCCAGCCTACATGCACGTTGGAAGAACAGCTCCTTGAAGACGTCGAGATCCACATTCTTCCTTCCCCTCTCCCGGTGTGTAAAGTTGTTACATGTCAACTGGCCGATTTTCCAAGTGGCTCCGTGTCTTTCTGTTCTAGATGGAGAAGGACGAGACTGTGAGCGACTCCTCTCCACACATAGCCAACATCGGGCGCTTGGTAGAGGTAAGTGGAGCCGGCGCAGCTGGGCTGCTGCAGGCTCTCCTGCCCGGGCTTCTTCCCATGCCTGAGGATTTGGTGCGTTGCCTTGCTCTTTACAAAGTTATTTACCCCTTTGGTACCAAGTCTAGTCTCTCACACTGCATGGGGTGGCTTAGCACCCTTCCTTGGGTGCCTTGCAACAGTTTGTGGATACAAAAAGTCCTCTCCATGCACTCTCCTACTCCACACGGTAGTAACTTTCTCGTAATATAGTTGATCACCAGTTAATTTCTTTGACTTTTGTAGCTGCCTGGGGAAGAGAGGGGAAAATTCCTAATAAAATAGATTATAATATGTATATTAAAGAAACTAGGGACTCAAAAGCAGGTGGGTATTTCTCTTTGGTCCTTTTTCTAAGTATTTAGCTTGAGTGAAAATGACTACAGAGAGAAGCTGATACTGCTTATTTGCAAGGTATTCTGAAATCTATTTGCCACATAGGGCTGGTAAGTCAGTCAATAGCTCAAAAAGTCAAACGCCCAAGCACAGAACTCTTGAGCTGTCGGTGCTGCTAAGTGACTAACTCACAACTCAAGCCACGTTCAGTGTCAGCAGATGAGCGGGGAAGGCAGGGGTGAGCCACAACTTCCCTTTTGGCAGTGGGATGCCGAAAAATGGGATAGCTGGGCCGAAACTGCCCTCTTGTGGTCCTGGCTCCTGTGCACGGAGCCCGAGCAGCAGTCGGGAGCAGGAATCGCCCCGGCAGCGACGGAGCTAAACCTTTTCCATGGAGGAGGCCAGAGGGACGGGGTCGCAGGGGCTCCCGGGAGAGGAACGCGCTGGGGCGCCCCGGGCTGCAGCGTCGGGAGGGGACACGTGGCAGCGTCTGCAGCGGTGCTAAAAAACCATCGCGGTGCCTCAGAGTTGGGTTTCTCGCTTGCTTACAGGACATGGAAAACAAAATCAGGAGTACGCTGAACGAGATTTATTTTGGAAAAACAAAGGACATCGTCAATGGGCTGAGGTAAGGGGCTCGCCAGCTGTCGGAACCTGCTGCCTTCCCAGGCCTGGCCTGCAGCTCCCCTTCCTGACCCAAATCCCTGCCGTCCCCGCGGTTTGCGGGAGCTGCTCGTGGTGTGGTGTGCGGGGAACGGTGCTGTCCTGCCTTTTCACTACAGCAACCTGAAGCGGTGTTTTAATCCCTTGTTCCCTCAACAGGAAGAAAATAGCAGTTAGTGACACGTGTTCTTGGGGATTGTTTTTAATTGTGTGTTTTCTTTTTCTACATGCCTAAAAGTAGTTCTTAAATTTTGAATCTCCTGTCTAGTATCCTTAAAAACAGTGAGCTGGTCCCAGAATTGGGCCTGACGTTAGCGGCTTGCAGGATTTAGACATTGTTTTGAATTCTCTCTTTCTCTCCACACCTCTGGCTGAAATACGACACACTAGAAAGATAAGTGAATGAGTCCTCTGTGCCTTTCTGAAGGAAACCTCACGGTACAAGCCCCCAGCCAGGAATTTTGTGTAGAATTCCCAAGCTGGTCATTCTCAGGCTCCTAGAGGCCAGGGCAGAACCGTGATGCCAATCATCTCATTTTAGACATTGCAAATAGACCTCCCCTGCATGGTGGGGTCATGCAGAAGAGACAGTTGGCGCAAGTGCATGTGCTGCCACTCTCTTCGTACTGAAATAGGTAAAAGGAAAAAAAAAGAAATCCATAACCTTTCTTTCAGGTGGTAGAATAATGGTGCTGATTGAATATTTTTGCTGCCTTCTTAACAGCAGGGGCAGAAGCAGCCGGCAGTATCCAAGAAAGCAGCTGCTCTTTTTCCCCAGCCCCCTGCTTTCATAACAGCCCTGTATTTCATTTGTGGTGTGCAGGGCTTTAGCCAGGAAGCATTTATTAACATTAAAGGGAACCGTGTAATGCAGCCTCCTTTTTTTCCCCCTTGTGAACATTGCCTTCAGCTTCAGTAATTGCATCTGTTTCCGACGTCTGCTCAGCCTGAGCCTGGTGCTCTCTGTGCTGGGAGCTGCCCCGCTCACACGTGTCACGCGCGGAGCATCTGCCTTTGCCTCCAGCCTTTCTCCTGTCTCTTCTCGCCTGTGTTTTGACACCCGTTCCTGCTGCGGGCGCTCCTGGTTGTTCCCAGCCTCTGTGTTACTGAGTTCTCCTGACTGTTCTTCTCCCTGTTTACTTCCCTCCTTTCTGAACTGCTCTCCGTAGATCTATTGATGCTATCCCCGACAACCAAAAGTATAAGCAGTTGCAGAGGGAGCTTTCTCAAGTGTTGACCCAGCGCCAGATCTACATCCAGCCTGATAACTAAACCAACCAGGTACCCCTGCCTGTGAGGTGTGACAAGCGGCACTAAACCAGGACTCACCCCGCCGAGACCTCTGCATGATAACCGAGACCAGAACTAACCCCTAACTCCTGCGGACCGATAGCCGGCCTGCGATCCGGGTGTCACCCGAGGGTTAATGCTCCATCTGGCCAGCTAAGCCTTGTGGTTTCCTTTGCAGCGTTCCTCTTTCCCCCCTGCCCCTTAATCCGTTTGAAATGTCACGCTCTGACATGTGGCAGGACTCACCACTCTGCACTCTAGCTCGGGAGCGAGGAAGCAGCACGTGGCCGCGGCGCCCGCGCGGGCGTAGCTTGGACTTGCTCTATCCCAGCCCCCTTGGACCGCGTCCCTCGTGCGCCGTCAGTTTTTAGAGCCGTGGCCTGTCGCTTTAATGAGCACATTCCCTGTAATCTCAGTCTTCCTTGCGGAAAGACAAGGAATCTTGGAAATAAAGGGCTGTCCTCGCAGTTGTGAAAAGAGAGTGATGGCTGTGGTGCTTCCCGAGGCTTCAGAGCAGGCGGGAGCCTCCTGCGCGCTCCGCGTTTCCCGTGCGGGGCTCTAAAGCCGGAGCCGTTTTGGCCTCCGTCCACGTGCGCTCCAGGCAGGGCCGGATCCGCGCTCCGTCTCCGGGAGCTGGGAATGCCCCGCGCACCCGGAGCCGGCCCAACCTCCTGCTCCGGCGCTAATGAGGTGCAGGTGGCGTCCGGAGCGCCTGGAGCTGGCGCAGGGAAAAGGCGGCGGTTGTTGGTAAGGGCCAAGAACCACTTCGTTAGCCTATGACAAACGCAATAGAGAAACGTATATATTTTTATGAAAGCAGCGGAACTCTCCGGAGACAAGAGAATGGAAAGACTGCTGTGAAAATGTTAGGAAAATACCAGGCACAAAGAGCAGCCTTGTTGACAGGAGACAGCGCCCGGGCAAAATAAGGGAGCTCTGCGTGCAGCAGCCAGCGGGAGCTGTGGTTTATGTGGGAAGAAATCCGAGGGGCTGGATGCTGCGCGCTTCGCTGGTGCGTTAGCGTCTTCGGAAAAGTCTAGTGGTGTCAGTGTGTTGATGACCAGATTTAGGAACATGGTGGTTTCAGTCAGAAGTCTCTAAATTCAGTGCTGAAGGCCCTGGTTCTGCCGCAGCCAACTTGGAGAGCAGCAAGCCCTGAGGAATCCTTAAAGATGGGATTTTTTCCCCGTGACCAAACTTTGGTAAACGCCGGGCCCTGCAGTAATCTTGCCAGGAGGATCCCTGTTCTTCACCTTTTTTGGTTTGCCAGTCACTCTAGGTGAATATTGCTGGAAATGGTGACTATGTAGGCGAATATTGCTGGAGAAAGCGAATTCCAGACGTGCAGCTCCAGCCGCTGCCGGTGGGAGGCTTTGACACGCATCCCTGTGCAGGGAAACTCCGCGGAACGTCCAGGAGCTCCCGCTGCCCCGTCCGTGTTCCAGGGGAGAGGCCGGAACGCGCTGCCTTGGCCTCCCGAGCGGGCTCAGGCGGAGAGCACTAACCCCCATGGTCAGTCGCGCGGCTGGATTTTTTTCAGTTTTCACCTGAAAATTGGGAATCTCCTTCCAGCGCCGTCAGGGGAGGCGCATCCGTCCGCGCCGTCCTTGCTAGTGGATTTTGCTTTGAGGTAGTCGCTAAAGCCCTCACTTTGCTTCCTGTCCTCCCTGCTTCCAACAGGCCAGTCGGGCTCGTTCCCCGGATCCGGGCGCCTCGGGGAGCTGCCCCCTTCTCATCTTGTGCTTCCTCTTTCCCAACAGGTCTGTGCAGACTTTTGCAGACAAATCAAAACAAGAAGCTCTTAAAAATGACCTGGTGGAGGCTTTGAAGAGAAAGCAGCAAAGTTAAAATCCTCTCCATGCTAACGAGACATGCCATGCACTCATTAGATTCCTTTCGTAGAAAAACTCATGGTCCCCCCTTTTCTGTTACGTCACGTCACGACTCGCACCCAGTGCTATCCATGCAGCGCCATCCTCTCCCATGAATAAAGCTGTACAAACTTTTGCAGTCTCTGAGGCCTACTTTGCACCACATTTTACTATTGAGACCTTAGGCTGTTTCTGTAGAAGGCCATGGATTTGTTTTTTCTTCCCCCTGCCCCTCTTCTTCCACCCTCCTCCCATTTATATGCATAAACACGGATCATTGTTCGTCTTTTTTTCCTCCCCACCCCTCCTGCCTTTTGTTACATTGGTGTAAAAAATGTAAAACAAAAATTTATTAAATACTGTGGTGTGTGAAAGAGGAAGAACTGGAAAAAAAAGAAAAAAAAAAAAGAAATCTATTCCACGTGTGTCTGGGGGCCGGGCACAGGGGCTGGCTGGTGGGAGGGAGGGAGAGAGGGTGTTTCCTCGTGTTGTGCTCGACTGCTGCAAGCAGCTGTGCAAGGAGG